TATATAACTGGAATTTTGTAGTTTGGGTCTTGATCTCAATGGTCTCGCTTTCATGCCAACGGTGACACAACACGTTTTAATATGCTCACTGTGGTAGAAAATCAAATATTATATTATATATAATATAATTGAAAAATTACGATGGTAAATGAACAATTCCATCATATTCAAATCAATTCCAATTGGGTGACTTGAACAATTCTATCATATTCAAATCAATTCCAATTGGGTGATATGCACAATCACATCAGATAGGGTCTGGTCCATCAACTTGATTTATATATTTATTTTTATCTAGCATAATAATAATAATATTATATATATACACACTTGACACATATTGTATTAAATATGAATCAGTATACCTATATGCCCATGTAATTTGATTTGGTAGTGTCCACATTATAATTATTACGTGGTCAGACGCATGTGCGCGAATGACTTCATACTTCACACAAATAAACATTAGAATTGCTTCTCTCCCGAAAAAGGGACATTAGAATTGACCTTCTTTGTAAAATACACCAAACTCTTTTTTATTATACTAGTGAGTCCACATCTTGTACGATCTACGGACATACTTGTTATTTAAAATATTTTTTAAAACTTTATATGAAACATACTTATTTATATTTAACGTCTCATTATTTCAAGAAAATAAATACAAGCGGGTGAATATACTTTGCTATTGAATTTTAAGAAGCTGTGGCACTGACTTGAGGATCGACAAAGTTGACACATGGAAGGTGTCGAAGGAAATGAAGAAAAAGCATCGAATGCTAGTCTTGTGCCCCTGTTAGCACTTTCCTGCTTTCCTGAACTGAACCGGATTGCAGAATATAAAAATTTATATATTATTTATTTAAATATAATGAGTGTTCCAAACCAATCAATAACATCCAACACATAATATATGATAAAATTAATTATATGAATCGTCATGCTTTTTTTGAGATATTTAAGATTCGCATTAAAATTTGTAATTTGGATATGAGATGAAAAATAGATGTGTACAAAAAAATAGATACCAAGAACCCACATGTTATGAAATTATTTCTAAACTTTAAAAGATTTTGTAGTTAGATAAATATGGACAAAAAATCATCAGTTAAGTTGAATAATCCAAAATATAAAAATTAATTTATGAAATTCATATTCATTATTAGATAAATATGAATTTTTAGTTGTGACCATAAAATATGATGTTTGTAGATGGATAAATGTGAATAAATAGTTAACAATTACGTTGTCATGACTTTTCAAAACGATTTTAAAAAATTTCAAACGTTTTATTGGTTAAATAATTGACCCAATTTTTGTAACAAAATTTACACATTTGACCGAAAAAGTTTAAGAAAATGATTTTTGGAAGCAAAATTTTTAAGATTCTTTCTCATTATTGGTCAGATTTACCTGTATAATTTAAGGAAATAAATCCCATATTATTAGGAATTAAGGTTTACACTATCTTTCTCATATAACAATTTTTTTAAAATTTTAATTCAAATTTTCATTCAGCTGCCAAATTAAAAAAAAAAAACTAAGAATAATAACTTTGAAAATTTTAAGCGAGAATTTTAATACTATTTCAAGTATATCCCTCTCTCTATTATATAGTAATAGAATTTATTACGTGTTTTTTTTAAAAAAAAAATACATGAAACCTCCTTATATTTAATTAAATGTAGCACGATTCCCCTTTCTTTGTCCAACTTGACAGCGGGTGCAATACACATGAGCCAAAAAGGTTAACTTTTAAGTCATCAAACCACTCTACCACCGTAATTGAATGGTACATGTTGAATATACATTTATTTAAACAAACATGGACAAAGCAAAACTATATCGAACAAAAAATAAAAAATGAAATAGTCACAAAATAAACTAACTATAAGAAAATATAATTAAAATAAAAAAATAAAAATTAAATGTGTATTTTATAAATAATAAATAAATAATATTATTATGTCATATAAAATTAAATGATACTTTCATTTAAATAAATTAAAATATTAAATGTAAACTATAATTCAATATAAATTAAAATACATTTAATGAATTGAATCAATATAGTATATATAAATAAAACTAAATTACATTAAATTAAATTTATTAAAATATAATAGGATGATACTTTTATTCATAATATATTCTTGAAGTAGTAATTTATAGAAATAAAATATTTTGCATTCAATAACTATAGATGGATTCTGTAACGTCCCACTTTTATTTGCCGAAATTCAAAATAAATTTTTCAAAATTTATTTCAAAACACTTGAGACGCTACTCATTTCCCAAAACAATTTCAACATTTCCATAAATACAACTCCCAAACGGGTTCAATAATCATAAATAAGTCAACACCCAAACCGGGTTCAACATCAACTCCCAAAACTGGGTTCATCAAATCCATAAATACTAGGGAGTACACTCTCTATCAATAATCCGAAATTCAACGTATATCAGAAGTGCATAAATAAAACTAGCAGTTCAAACAGCGGAAGTAATCAGTAATATGACCACCACTCGCCTCCCTCTGTCGTGTCCGCATTTACTAACCTGCATCCATGAAAAGCAGGTGGGGATGAACACAATAGGAAAATCGAGGTGCTCACTGCTATGCAATAATTAATATTCAATTTCATAATAAAGCAGGTATGGTCGCAGTATGAACACAAATCAATTAATATCCCATCTCCTATCCCAGAGTCAACTCTCATGTGCACACCTATATCAATAGACCACTGCTGATACACGTATCGAAATGCCCCATGGGTCTTACAATCGATGCCCAGCCAGTAGGAGTAAATCCACCCAGAATGCCCGGAACCTAGCTTTCGGACTTACATCGAGGATCACCAGCCAAGATTCACGCCCTGACTGCCATACATAAATAAAGGACATTACCCATCGGGTACGTTCTATAGCTACGGGGATAACTGTTCGACGGCCAATATAGCCCACATCGAAGGCTACATGGTTCACACGCATACTTTTATCATACCACAACAATAACAATTAATTAAAGCATAGCAATTTCAAATAAAACCCACCTGGTGATTCGGTAGAGAAGTCACACAAACAGGTCGGTAGGTCGAGGGCTCGAATTCTCAAACACCTACATTAAGTCCAGATGCTATAATCAACATCTATTCTGACTTAAACGGAAATCACAATTATTCTTAGCCGAACTTGATTCGACTAAGTTGTTCGTGAAGTCCTGTGGACGTTGGAACACTTTGACTCGACACTAAGACTCAACCAAATAAAAATGGGAGTTAACATAATCCAACACAAACATTGACAAAGCAACCACCTAAAGAAACGGAAAACGAGCCAATTTACCGCTTTAAATTGCAAAAGCCATATAATTAAAAATACTAGATTTAAATCACAAAAATGAGTTGATCAGGTTATCAAACAAATTTATCTCTGAAATTTTAACCACAATTTTCCCTCCCATAGTTAAGCAAAACCACAAAATTTCAGCCCCAAACTCAAAGCATGCTATTTTATAAAATTCGAGCAAGTTTATGGCAAAAACGAGCATGTATTGACAACCAGACCAAATGAATGAATTAACCTATGAAATTTTTATCTAAGGAGCCTCAGCATGTACATAGCAGTGTGTACAAATATCAGCCCTAAACTCCTAACATGCAATTTATTAAAATTGCTACAACATTCAGCTGATTTCAAATTTTCCATATAACAGAACCTAAATGAACTCCAAAAATTCTCATCTTTTAACAACGTGAAAATACACATAAAACATGCACTTCAACCAAAAATCATAATTTTTCAGCAATAGATCAATTTTTCACAATTAAAACAATTTCTGGCAGAAACACAAAACAATTATTTACCTAAGCTAACATAATCCAAAAATTATGAAAATTTAACACAACCTCTAAATCAGACGGAAGAACATCATATTCGAATTTCAGAAATTTTCTAGCACTACACAATTAATTATGCAATTAACAGGAAACTGACCAGAAATCATTCTAATTTATTAAAATAGCTACAGACCTCCTAAAATCATGAAATTTATACACCAGATACATTTCCAAAAGTGGCAATTACCCTCAAAATTTCAAGGCAAACGGACCAACGAGCAATTTATTATGAATTTAATATTAAATCAGCCACAATACAATCTCGAAAATTCATGTAAGATTCGATTCTCGACGAAATCGTCCGAAGTCTTCGCCATGACCAAGGACGATATAACGTTCCAATCCACAACGACTATATCACGAATCGACGAGGTCTCGTTCGATTTCACAGAATCGAAGGGTTCGTCTACATACATTCACATATATTTAATTCTTATGATCACAATAATTGACATAGGCATATTCACAAGTATCCGACAATCACTTTCAACAATCAAGAACGCAACATAAACGAGACGTAAAATTAAACGAGACTGGTTCAACTAGGTACCATTCTCGGGATATCGTACGAAAAACGGGACGAAGGAAAACGAACGGCACGTCGAAGGCGGCTCGCGGCGGCGCTCGGCGACGGCAACGGGCTTGACGGCTGGCTTCGTCTCGCGGAGAATGGCGCCGGTTGCTGGTCGGCTTGTGGAGGATGAGGGCGGCGATGATGGTGGCTCGCCGCTGGTTCACGGCGAGGAGGGCTCACCGGAGGTCGGGAAGGCGGGCCTGCGGGTTTTCTTTTCGTGCGTGAAAGAGATGATGATATTATATTTCCTTCTCTTTTCTATCGTGAGATCGACGGGATTGCCAGGGAGGTGAGAATTTTCCGTTTACATGAGATCGAGGGAGAGCGAAAGAGTTGCGGGATAATTTTCTGTTTTCTTGCGCACAAATCAAAGAAGGGACGAAAGAGATTTGAGAGAGAGAGCTGCGGCTTGATGAGGTTTAAGGGTCACAAATTTTTTTGTTGATTGGAGATGATTAAGAGCATCCACAATAATTTGGGTCTCTTTGTTTATGTGGCATGTAATTGGACTTGAGTTTTAAATGACATGGATAAATCTAAGTAATAAAACTCAAAACCTTTGCAATGCAAAAGTAAAAAGACTAGGTCTAGC